CTCCTACCGAATAAAGAACCACAGTAAGTCTGATTTGTCATTTGAACTATGAAAATTTCCTGTATAGGTCTTTGTTTCAATAATTCTGTAATTCTGTCCTGTCTATTTCAATCATGATTAAAACAACAAAAGTTTCTGGTTTAAAAAAGCAATAAATTGTCGGTTTTCAATACTATGATTTGTATTTTTGATGTTGACTGATGAAAAAAAAGGACATAACATTGGTAAAAAAGTTTGGATGGCATTTAATCCATAATAATTTACAAAGATCATATTGTCTCCAGAAAATCGGGTTGGTTTAGATTTTCAAAAAGACATTCAGCAGGAGAGAATTGCAGGAACTGTTTTTTGAGAAGCCGCAATTGGGGGGATTGTGTAATTATTGGGTGGGTTCAAGTATTTATGAGCTGCACTGTGCATGTGGTAAAACACACATACCGCTTTCTGATATAAGCTGTCATTGAACATATAAGGTGACTTAAAGAATTGTAGAATTAAGGGCTTATGGGATACAATAACTAGAGGAGCTGACTGATGGGGCTTAAAAGGGTTTTTTAAAACCTGGAAGCAGAGGACACATTTGATGCAAATTTTGGTTTCATTTTCTTTTGTAAGGTTGCATTGTCTTGGTGTCTTATACCCTGTCTTTATTTGCACATTTGGTGGTTGGAGGCAACAAGAAGTAACAGAGTTACAAGAGGATAGATCACAAAGTTTATGTTACCTTGATACTTGGTTTTGTAATGCACATGTAATGGAATTAGTATTGTATAAGGTTACATAAAGTAACCTGGTCTTACATAATAATCACGTATGGTGGCATAGATTTTTTAAAATGCATGGGAAATACACATACAAACAAAATAATGATATACTGCATGACTATTATAGCATACAATGAGTCCGTTGACTACAGTAATGTTGAGGGTGTATAGGGTGGATTACGGTGAGGTCACAATGTATTATAAGCCCCATCAGTCAACCTCTGTTTGTAACTAGTCAGGAGCATCCATAAGGATATGTGCACCAAGAAGATTATGTATATTTATGAATGTGTAATCATACAGTTCACTATAGATGTGGTCTTCCTAGGAAGTGGTTACTGAACAGGCAAGATAATTGACACTTAAAGCGAATATAGAATTCCAACACTTGTCCATCAATACATTCATGTTAGATCTCAATTGTTCTCTGTATTCCACAGTTTTCCAGTACCACGAGAAATTACTGGGCTTATTTTATCTCACGCTTATCAAGAGTTTCCAGCTTGGCTCTATCATCAAGTTATCATTCATTCTTGGGACGTTGGAGGGACTTCTTCATCCTTTCAAACGTCCATTCCAATGAGACATCTACAGGAAAAGCAAACTAATGCAATAATCAGCAGACCAAATACCACAAAGACTGCCATCACATCTAGAGAGTGATAGGCATACCATGGCAACTTGTATGACTCGGTGCGCAGATGTGCTGCACCCTTGTACCTCATGACGTACTCTATCCAGAAAATGGCACTGTCTATGGGTTTTATTGGTTTGTCATGATGAAGCTGTGACAGTTTGAGCATATTCTGTTTGTATGGCTTTTCTGGGTCTAGCATATTCTTCAGAGCAGTTGTCAGAGACTCAACATCCAAGGTTGTCACGTCAACAATCTCAGCCCCTCCCCGAGCTTTCATGCGTACCATGTTGTCATACTGATCAAAGATGAGAGGAATTCCCAGAACTGGGACACCGTGGTAGATGGCCTCATAAATTCCATTAGTAAACACTTAGTTTTTTGATTTATGACCAGTGATATCGTTTTGAGGGCAGCACTTGGCCAGCCATTGGTGTTATTGTCCCAGAGTAGGTCTTTTTCCAATGTGTCTCCACACAACCTTTTGAGGGAGGTTGGCAAATGCTGAAGCAATGATCTCTGATATCTCAGGGCCGAGGTCGCCCAGCAGGGTCCCCAGAGTCATTACGACCACCCCATGTTCACCAGAACTCTGCACAAATTCCTCTAAATCTAATGGAAGAGGGTTGGAGGGCTTACACTGGAACCCTCCGATGTAGACGACATTGGGCATGGTGGGACGAGGGAACTCAAATATAAAGTCAACCCGCATTAGCCAGAGATCAGCTCCCTGGATGAGAGACATGACGTTGACATCAGGTCCAAAATAACGATCACACACAGCCTGGTATGGTGGATTTGAGATATAGTAGTACATGTAGACCAATATGGCATGACGGATTATATTATTGATTCTTTGAAAAAAGTCCATTTTATCAGAGTATTCAGAGAACAGTTCAGGGATATAGGAGAGAGGAGAAGGAGCGATGGCGAAGTGTGCCTCTCCACTGAAAAGCCAGCGCACATTAAAAACCATGGGAAGCTGGAGATAATGTGCTAACAGCACTCCACCTGGAAATGCAGGGTCAGTCAGACAAAGATCATATCCAGTTTCCTTCAGCTCCTTCATTAGTGTCTTATTCTCAAAGATACTGATGACCAGTTTTGCCACAACTTCCTGATTCTCCCCTAACATGTTGAAAAGGTTCCTATAAAAATCCAGAAAGGCCCATAGTGAGCCTTTACTGCGACGGATCTCTATTGTCCTCTTCAAGTAAGAGGTCATTAAGTCCTGGCTCTCAATGTTTTGGGACTGTTCCTGGGCGATGGTGATGGAGGTGTAATGGGGTGAGAATTCAGAAACATACCAGCTGGTAGAGGAGCGTATGACTGTTATTTGATGGCCCTGAGAATGTAGCTTCTCCACCAAGATTTTCATATTAATCCAGTGGCTTCCATCTATGGGGTAAACCAACACTTTTCCACCATCACAACTGAAGCACAGAGTTGCAGAAAACAGCAGGATAAACGCCAGGGCTGGATATGACCCCATCACTGTAGAAGAGACACAGAACTTACTGAACAAACACTTGCAGTTCATACAGTGCTCAAGCTGCAGAAAACTCTCCATTATCTCACATATGATGATCAAGTTGCCATTTCCTCTTATGCAATGCTAGCACAAATGAGGGTTAAGTCAGGTCAAGTTTTTGGATTTCTATCTGTTGTGTGTTTATGTTCAGTATTCTGCTACATAGTCTTGTCTTTTCTAAATCTGACCACCTGCTACATTTTGCTCTTTGTCCAGTCTCAGTCAGTTTTTTTTTTTTTCCTGGAACTGTTAAGTAATGTTCAGCACCAATTAACCAAGTCAAAGTCCTTGTGCACTTGACACATGACGGAGTCATGCATCCATTCTGTACTTTCTAATACATCTTGTTTTTTAGTGTTTAAGGTGTGCACAGCAGTTTCTTAAATGTAAAATATTAATACTGTTAGACTAAAATCAAAGCAAACAGTGCTGTTTTATGACAAACATTTCAGTGACTGGAATCAAATTTATCTGCTCTGAACGTTTTAGTTTTTGTCCATGTGCAAAATAACCACAACATCTTACAATGTAATTTAGGGCACAACCACACACAATTGCAAAATGGAGCAAAAAAGCAAGAGCAAAACCATAGCCTAGATTACCTGATATAGCTGCAGACTCAGACTAATATCAAATGTCAAGTAAAAAGGCCAAGAAAGCTGAAAAACAAGTCTTTAAATAATCTTTCTATGCAAGTATTTCTTTTTGTTAGCATCAGTAGTTTATCAAAGATGGAAAGTCAACAATAAGCTGCAGAACTGTTTCTGTAAAAAGACTAACCGTGGTGTGATGAAATGCCACTGAACAAAAGTAGGACAGAAACTGTACTAAGTTCAAAACTGAGCATAAAAGCAGCAACACAGAGTTTGTTAGCAAAATTGCTCCTCACCTCAGACTCTGTGACTTCTCTCCCCAGCCAAAAAGAATCCAGTGTCTGAGGTTATCATGCAAAAGTTGAAATGCAAGTCAATGTATAACTCTACATGTCCCTGACTGAAGTGGTCCATTCTGCTGCCTGTTTGTCCAAAGAAATGTAATCATGTGGAGGTCCCCTCTCAACTCTCCGCCCAGATTTTCCCTGTTGTTGCTATTTTGCCTCTCTGCATGAACATCTGGATATCATTTTACAAACTTTACAAACTGAACATTTTAAAAAATATATTAATGCGGTGCTTAAATACTAATAGGTCTGATGCATTCAAACCCAGCAACTATCTTAACCTCTGTTCTCTGCCACTACAAGATTTTCTTTATTTATGTGTGTATTTAGTTGAAAGATAACCATGTCACCACGAGAATAAGGAAAAAGGGAAAAAAAGACTAAACTAAACATATATAGTTAACTTCTGCTGTCAAAACAATGTTATCAAAAAGCAAAGGTCTGGTTATTTATTTCAAAGTAATCAATGTAATATCCTCATATGTCTGTGGACAAACCTTGAGTCAGAGTCAGAAGTCCAATGAAATCTTTCTTCCGACGTAAATTACCAGCAATGGTTAACATTTTGTTTAGTACGGTTTATTTTCTTCCCCAGAGAGTGCTAAATGCAGTATGTTGCCTGACAGGATACAAAGGCTAACTAAGTTTATCATCATCTTGATAGTTTCGAAGTCCCAAGATAAGGTCAAACTTCAAACAGAACGAAGAGACTATTTTAAGATATGATCTGTGTTGCTTCAACCCAGAAAGAAACTCTCTGCTCTGAACCACATGTTGTTCAAATCTCTGGATGGTTATTGTTAAAATTATGTTGTAAAAGAAGGGGGGTCCATTTGTTCCATTTTGAGAATTGAGAATTGCTTAGTGTCTCTTTCACATGTCTGCATGTTTACACAGAAAAGAAAAGCTGAAGTGTTAAAAGAGTCTCAGTTTTATAGTAGAACTCCACTGATCCATCACGGTGGTCAGAGATGTCCAATGGAAGTCCCCAATCAGCTCCTTTGTCTTGCTTGTTCAGCCAAAGGTGGTCGAGTCTGCACTGACTAACACAGTTATGTCAAGTCAAGTGAATCCAACTTTTATTCATATAGCCCAAAATCACAAATCACAGTTTGCCTCAGTAAAGTTATTCTTTTATAAAGTCCTTGTATTGCTCCTGCATGTTGTCCACTGACAACACCCCATAATGGCAGAGTCATCAGAGAACATCTGTCAGTGTGGCAAGACCTTGAGTTTTAGCTGAAGTCAGTATATCAGGAAGGTGGAGTCTCCTGGGGATGTCCTGGGTTGCTCATCAAAGGTACTGACCCAAATGTAGTTTAGGCACACACCATTTGTTTTAAAACTGCAAAGTCAATAAGCTTTAATCAGTAGTATTACTGGTTGTTATATTATTGTGAAAAAGATTACCATAAATGACAAAAATGTTACAAAACAACTATGTATGCATGTAAGAAAGAGGAAACTGGTGTTTTTACATGTTAAAAAAAAAACCTTCTAGATATATTAAAGAATAATATTACTAAGTCTCACGTGTTTATGATTGTTCATAAAGGCTTGGTGCCTCTCACTGAAGTACCACCAGAGGGAGACTCTTACCTATCCATCTGTGTGATTGATGAAGAACTCCTGTAGCTCCTGTTTACACACTTACATGTGATGAATAATATCATGCATCTGTACTCTGTGTACTGAGACTGTTGACATAAGAACAATGTGTTCACCACAAAGTATGCTTCTAGAAATAAACTTACTATCAACTCGGGTTCTCTAACCAAGAGACTACATCAACGATGATTGTTGTAAAGATTTTTATTTTGTGTGTCAAATGATAGAATAATAAGTAGTGGTTATGCACGAGAAAAAACAAAACAGTTGTGGTTGTGTTGGTTATTTTCTTCAACGCTTGAATGCACATGCAGACATGTACATAGATTTGTCTGTGCTATCAACACAGCAGTGGTTCAAACAGGAAGTCTTCTTTGAATATATAGTATGTCATGTTTTCTTGCACCTCTCATAAGCCAGATCACCCACAGAGGAAAAGGTCTGTACCGACTTCTTTTCAGAAGACAGAATGAATAAAACCTTTTGTCCTCGTGTCAGTTTCAACTTTGAACACAGATTTCTGCCTCCTGTTTACATCTTGGTATTCATCATTGGTCTGGTAGCCAATGGATGGGGACTCAAGTCTTTGCTGCACAACTGGAAGAAACTGGGTAACATCAATGTTTTTGTTCTCAACCTTGGACTTGCTGACATGTTTGACCTGCCTCACACTGCCCAGTTTGGGAGGGGTGTACCTACTTTATGGGAGAGTAAGATGATCTTTGGAGATGCATTTGCAAGATAACAACGATGTCTGCTTTAACCTGTAATTATATGGCCATTGGCTTCCTCACCTGTAGTCAGGTGGGGTGTACGGCGTACCTGCTATTTGTTCAGTCCAATGAGACTGATGGGAACATGTAACTCGGCGCCCACTCTGTGGGCTATCTTCGATCGCGAGGTGGCTGTTGCGTAACTGTTTCAAAGTCTTCCAGACATGTTCTACACCAGATCATTTCGAAACAGAGACTGGGAAATGGCTATGATACCATCCGATAAGGACTCCGAAGTGTTGGAGAGTTACCTTGAGAATACAGCCTTGGGATGGGACCCTCACTGGGTGTTTGTTATCCCCTGTCCTCATCGACACGGGCTGCTATGGACACATGATTGTCATCTATGCCGCATAAATACCACGTTGAACAAGGATACTGAAACAGAGATGGCTTGAAGTTGGTTTCATCGCTTTGATTCTTCTGCTTCTGCTGGGTTTGCTTACGATCCCCTATCATGTATCGGGAAACGGCCCAAGCCTGCTGGCAAATCAGTTTTGTCAAAACCAAGAGTTTTGCATGACATGTCCAATAGAGGTTTACATTGCCTCATCAGATAAGTCGTGGCCTTGTGTGTCTGAACAGTGCTCTCAACCCTCTGGTTTACCTCCATGGAAATGAAGATATTCCTGCTCAGCTCAGACGATTACTCCAGCAAGTTCGTCAGACGTCAAACTCCAGCTGTGTGGCACAAACCCTGGAGGAGGTTCAAAACAAGTAAACATGTTAATAATTCTGTTATGTAATTTTCTAAATATCTGCTGTGTGCCCATACACACGGAAGTTTAATAGGAAGTTATTTAGCCTGTCTAGCATAAATGTTGTAAATATTGCACGTTAATTAATTTCTTCATTTCAATTTTGATCTTTGTGTCTGTCATGATGTTGTTACCATAGGCAGAAAAGGCCAACAGAAAACTCAGATGAACCACAACTCTTGATGTGTCACTATCTATTTTAAAACAAGTTTGAGATAATGATCATGTTAGGGGTTTGGAAACCCAGTGCCTCACACGCTCTCTGTTGGTTCAGAGCGGGAAATCGATAGCGGAGCCACACACTTCCTCCAAAAGGACTAAGACAGTAAAAAACACTCTTAACCTGAAATCATTTAACACATTTTAACATTTTTCAGTTAACCGATCCACAAATTCACAAAATCCTGCAAGTTGCAAATATACTCCCATATCATTGCTAATCACTAGGTTTTACTGCTACCACTGCACTGCATTACACATATATTGATATAGTAAAAATCCCCACACTTATTTTAGGCTATTGTATTATTGCTAGTTATTTTGGGGTTTTTGCTCTAAGACATAAGTTCCTATGTTATGTAATATACTGGTGTACACTGTTATAGCTGTAATTTGATATTACTCTCACATATACTGCTAATTTTGATGTTACTAAATCACACCACAATGTCACTTGTCACACACACAATGTGTTATGTCGTTTAGTTAGAGTGCAGCAGCAGTTGTGGGTACTGTATGTGTAAGTGAGTGAGTTTAATTTCTTTGTGTACTGTTGCTGCAACATCTGAATTTGAATCTTAATTAATAAAGGACTATCTTGTTTTATTCTATCTTAACAACTAATATTGAACATGTGTTTTTACTTTGGTAGCATTAGCAGATAAAGCAGCCATTTGTTTTAGTGCACCCCGCTCCAAAGCAATAGATTCTCATACAGGAATTAGAGCTAATTGTTTCATTTGTATTTAACAAGATAGCAATTATCAAAATGAATCAGGGCCCCACCCATAGAACTACAAAATAATTTAGACAGTAAAAACTGTCACTGATGCATATCTCAATCGTTGGGAAAGACCCACCCCTGTTTTAACATGCAAGCTAATCTTAATATCTCTGCAGCTTCCTTAACTGATCGGACTGTATACTCTGAACTAGTGTAGATGAATGAGGCCTTTTATTCATTTTAAGCACATTTTTATAGTTCAGATATGTCCTCTGATAGAATAACAACTTAAACTTTCTGAAATACTTTTTCCCACAACTGAATACAAATGAGGCAAGTTCTTAACTCCCTCCAGAAGCAGTTAAAAGTATGAAATTGTAATGTGTGTCAGAGTGGATAGCGAACATTCAGAGTCTTATTTCACTTTTGGGCTCCAGTTGGGGCCTCTGTTTATTGCTGCCATTTTGAAAGGGCATTTAGAAGAAATTCAAATACAGCTATATACATATAGCAAAATGGATGTCTCTGTTTTAGTTAGCAGTCTCACTTATTTTTAGTTCTGATGCCCATACACTACAAAATGTTATCTATAGAATTATACACCAAGACCAGAGAAAAAAGGTTATTCACAGACGACTCAGCTCCTTCATATTGTTGATACACTGCTGTCAGTTGATGCAAAGAAAGCTTCTGACCACCTTGAATGGCAATATCTGTGATAGGCTCTTTATAAATTTGGCTTCGGAAAAGAATGTGTTATTATCTCAAAGTGACATACATAATACAGTTTCCGAGATGCCATTACTTTTACTGTGAAGGTATAGTCTCCCCTCATCAGAATCGTCAGGGGAATCAGCCACGGCTGCCGTGTCTCACAGCATTTGTTCAAGCAATTGTTTTCATCACCGCATACCAACAAACCACACTGTAAAACCAGAAGCCAGAGTACGTAATGAAAATTTTTCAGAACCTATATGACTCTTTCTTTTTTCTTTCTTTTTTAAG